CGTATTCAAAACCTAATTGTGCACTGTTAGAAAAAACGGTGAAAAAACGGTCACACCGGCGTTCTAGTGGCCGGTCGCCCCGTGAAAATAAACTGTTTCGCCGTTATTATCAGATGTTTTACCGATTTCTAGTGTTAAATTAGAATAAAAACGGCGACACGGTGTTTCTTTTACGGTGTCCGACCGGCCACTGAAACGCCGGTAATACCGTTAACGGTAATTTTTCTAAAAGTGTGTCTGTAGGCAATATTGGAAGCCGGGGGTCAAATCTACAGGGAATGTCACTCATTATTGGTCTCCTGCTCTGCAATGTCATGACAACGTTGCTAATGAGCCTCGTATCATCACTAAATGTTTAGTGAAGTTTCACTGCAACGCTCATTATACAGAACTCAGCTGTCCTGGAATAGGTGACAGCTCAAATTAGTTTAACTAATTGTTGCATCTTTTTTCTGAACTAATTCACTACATTGGACTAATTTGGGCCAGCGCATTTCACGTCTTATGTATGTTTCCGCGTCCGTGGATTTTTATGAATATATTGTTAGCATATTCATTTAATTTTTAATCATCGATAAAGCGAATAATCCATAAGACGTATTTGTATAATAGAAGACAATATATTATGCTAATTCTTATCAAGAATCAAAAATCGTGTCATAAGCTTTGCCAACCGTACGAGTCTCAGTCGTCTTTTAAACAAATATTTCTTCAACAAACACGCGGGTGTCTTCTTTTTCAACAACTATGTTTAATATTTTTTTAAATATTGTTTGCCCTTTATAACTAAATTCCATCTACACACATTTATTTGCCGTCTCGATTCTGAAATAAACGATTTTCACGCGCTATAAGCAGCCAAAATCAAATATTTCTTTTTGCAAATCGGGCTCATAATGCAAAATCTTAATTATTGTTTTTTAATTTTTATTCTGCGATGATAGATGGTGTCTTCCCGATTATCCATAGCCAGCGAGCAAGCAAAGCTCGGGCTGAGATTTACGGTCATCAGACAGCGGCTGTAAGGGAACAGCTTTCATGCAAGACAGAGGCTCAGCCCGCTAGAATAGCGGTGACGCGAAGTGGCCTTCCATGTAGCGGGAAAACCTAAACCTGGCCAACGAAAGTCTGGGTAGCGGGAAAGCCAGAACCAGGGCAATGAAAGTCGTCGTAGCGGGAATACCTAAACCACGCCAATTAAAGTCGGCGTAGCGGGAAAGCCTGAACTAGGGCAAAGAAAGTCGTCGAAATTGGAAAACCTAAACCAAGTCAAAAAAGTTATCGTAGCGGGAAAACCTAAGCCAGATCAATATCTGAATTCATTGCCGTAAACAGCATTTGGAAATCACTTTTGCAGAGAGATATAATAATAATATAATAATAATAATAGCGGTTTCAGCATTTATTAGGCCGTAGGCCTGTCGCCGATTCTTATCATCGCAGAACATTCACAGCACATTGCGGTCTCGAACCCGCAACTCACTGCTATAATTCTGCTCTGCTTAACCGCCCGGCCTCCTTGCCGATTTCATAATGCCAGGCTAATTGAAAATAGTTTTTAATTAAAATTTATGATACGTCTGGTTAACGGTATATGGGTAGTGTCCAAGTAGGGTAACATGGGGCAGCGAGCCCACTGCGGGTCACGGGCCCATATAGCGGGTTTCTCGCTAAGTATGGCAGATATTGGGCCGTGTTCTCTACCGCCAGGCTCAGCCCGCTAGAATAGCGGTGACGCGAAGTGGCCTTCCATGTAGCGGGAAAACCTAAACCCGGCCAACGAATAAGGTCTGGGTAGCGGGAAAACCTGAACCGTGCCAACGAAAGTCATCGTAGCGGGAATACCTAAACCACGCCAATTAAAGTCGGTGTAGTGGGAAAACCTGAACCAGGGCAACAAAAGTCGTCGTACCTGGAAAACCTGAATCACGCCAATAAAAGTCGGCGTAGCGGGAAAACCTAAGCCAGATCAATGAAGGCGGTGTAATGGGAAAACACAAACAAGGCCAATTAAAGTCGTCGTAGCGGGAAAACCTGAACCGGGGCAACGAAAGTCGTCATAGCGGGAATACTTAAACCAAGGCAACTAAAGTCTTCGTAGCGGGAATACCTAAACAATGAAGGCGGTGTAATGGGAAAACACAAACAAGGCCAATTAAAGTCGTCGTAGCGGGAAAACCTGAACCGGGGCAACGAAAGTCGTCATAGCGGGAATACTTAAACCAAGGCAACTAAAGTCTTCGTAGCGGGAATACCTAAATCAAGGCAACGAAAGTCATCGTAGCGGGAAAACCAAAACCACGCCAATTAAAGTCGGTGTAGCGGGAAAGCCTGAACCAGGGAAACGAGAGTCCGTGTAGAGGGAGACCGGCTCTAGCAGCTGGCCATTCAGAATCTGAAAATTATACATGAAGAGGATGGAATATAACTGTTGTTTTGAAAATTTTTGATGCAGCCATGAATTTCAAAATACACAGGATGGTAGACGCCTCACTAATTAAGAAGCGTCTGTTAAAAACTATTTACGATGCAAACACAAACGACGCGGCTGATTACTAATATCTAAATACAAAATTTTCATATATACAAAATGATTAATAATATCTAAATAATATCTAAATGCCGTGAACAGCATTTGGAAATCATTTCTGCATATAGATATAATTATACAATAAATCATTATTATTTGGTGGTGGTAAATTATCATTATTGTTAGATTTTATCATTTTGCAATTGTAGCGTGAAAATAATTATATATGTGCTTACTTTATCTTTCGCATGGGAAAAACAGTTTCACAAGTGGCAGTCTGAATTTTCTCGATGATGTTTTTGTATTGCATCAATAAATTTTCGGAGCGACATTTTTCCTCTCGATTTCACAATTCCAGGCTAATTACAAAAAAATAATAAAATTTATTGTACATCTGGTTAACGGGATATGGGTAGTGTACAATTAAGTACTTACTTTACAAAAAAATTAAATGAAATTATTTTAAATGTAAGATAACGAAAAAACACTTGTTGGTGCCAGAAAAATTATCGGTTCGACATCTGGAGGCCAATGGAAAGTAAGTTTACATTCATAATATCGGTGGCATGAGTTGACATCGAAGTGCCATCGAGACCCGCCCATTGCTCATGTAGAAAATCAGCTGTACTTACATAACTCCAAAGTGTAAATTACATCGGTATGACCAGCACGACATTGAGCCGCAGACTCACATGCCATCTGCAAGCTGGAGGACCAAAGAATCAATCGTCAGTTATAGAAAGATCGGGTTCCAAAGGCCGGATCCCTTGTGAATCAAGTCACGAAAAGTTCAAAAATCGGCAACAGGCCATGGGCCTATTTCTTCGGTGCCGACACTTCTATTCTATTCTTTCTTCAGTGCCGACACTTCCATTCTATTCTATATGCGGGAGGCCCACAATGAGACCATCGCCCGTGCCACGTTGGAGGCCTGCACCAGCATCGTCATGCGGTGCCCCGACGTTATACTTAGGTAATTTTATATGTAATACATCAGCTGCACATGCAATAAAATCAGCTGCACTTACGTAACTACATATGTAATACATCAGCTGCACATGCAATAAAACCAACTGCACTTACGTAACTACATATGCAATACATCAGGTGCACATGCAATAAAATCAGCTGTACTTACATTACTACATATATAATACATCAGCTGCACATGCAATAAAACCAACTGCACTTACGTAACTACATATGCAATACATCAGGTGCACATGCAATAAAATCAGCTGCACTTACATAACTACATATGTAATACATCAGCTGCACATGCAATAAAATCAGCTGCACGCGTATTACATCTGCTGAACATGCAAATAACAATCTAAACTGAGATGCATCAGCAGTACATGTGCATCATTATCATCATCGATATATCAGCTGCACATGAGATGCACCTGCTTCACTTGTAATACATCAGCTGCATGATCGTTCAATATATCAGTTGCACAATAAATATATCAGTTGCACATGCAAATTATGCAATACATCAACTGCACATGCAATGCATCAGCTGCACTATGCACATGCAATGCATCAGCTGCACATGCAAAACATCAGGTGCACATGCAATACATCAGCTGCACATGCAATACATCAACTGCACATGCAATGCATCAGCTGCACATGCAAAACATCAGGTGCACATGCAATGCATCAGCTGCACATTCATTGCATCAGCTGCACATGCAACGCATCAGCTGCACTATGCAAGCGCGATGCATCAGCTGCACATTCAATGCATCAGCTGCACATTCAATGCATCAGCTGCACAAGCAATGCATCAGCTGCACATGCCGCAGATGCTGATAATTTGACTCTAAAGTTCGACTAATTTTGCGCCGACTGAGCGTGTTTGTCCAATTTCATGTCATTAAATGTGCTCGGAGTTCTCAAGCTTTAGCATTACCGCCAAATAATTGCCTGCCACTTATCATTTCGCTTGTTCAATCGAGCAACGACAGCAATTATATTATATTTCTGGTAGAAACTCACTCTGATTAATAAATTACGTTAATTGCATGAAAGCATTGCGTCTAAAAATAGTGGCGTTTTTAAAACAGATGCACCGAACATCGACGGAAGCAGTCCACTTACGTTACATGGTAAAATGATTGGTTGTTTGAGGTACGGAGCTAAATATTTTAATTTTATGAAAAGCATTGATTAGTATTAAATTTAATTAATGTTAATGTGCAACAAATATATGCTGCGCAATAAATATATATAAATACTTTCATTGATATATTACTTTTAAATCATCATTTAAACTATAATTAGAATGACCTTCTGGATGAAGTTTTTCCAATACTTCCATCTAATTCTGGTAACAACTTGGCAGGAGAAAAACTTGTAGAAAAGGTTTTAGTGGATGGTCTCGTAGCGTTGAGTCCTTCCGGTCAAAACTCATTTCACGGACCACGGAAGAAGTCCTGACTCAGCGTCCCTGCTCCACGGTCCACTCTCTGTTCTAAGATTAACTGAATTGTGCTGTCCAATTTTTAACGGATCAGTTTTAGTCGACGATACGAACAAGCCTAGGACGGTATGTCTAACTTGCTAGAGTTTATACTTTATAGTATAGCAATATAAACAAATTGATATCTGTAGAGTTTATAGTATTAAGTATTGCAACTCAGCAGCAACTGCAACATGAACAAATTGATATCTGAATGACTGAGAGTAAGATTATGAGATATCAAATTTCGTAAGCGTAAACTTGTACCAGGAACAGTTTTCTTTTGCCTACACCGACAGGCCGGCAACAGTAACTGAGCAAGACTTGCAGTTCGTGCCTTCGTGGTCAGTATATTATTAGATTTCAGCATGTGTTATGATGTTATACCTATAGCTACCTAAGGCTAAAAGTTGCTCACTGTCCTGTCACTGAACTGTGTGTGTGTCAGAGTCAGTGTGTGACATAGCTATGAAGCCTTACTGTGTTGCATTTTGTAGAGAGTTGCTCAATCAAAATTTAAATGCTTGCTGAGTCGCTGAACTCATGGAGTCATGAATTGTGACAAATGCATGTGTTACATCACTTACATGACTTTATTTGCTTACAAATTACAATTTGTAAGCAAAAATAATTCAGTTTGTTAGCTCCTATTTGTAAGTTACCTAGGTACAAATAACAAACTGTATTATTTTTACTAGCCTAGCTGCCTAGGTGTAATTATTTACATAATTTACTACTAGGTACCTAATTTTAATAAGTACACTGTGCAAAGTGTAGTGTCAGAGCACTCAGAGCAGACTTTTTTCAGACTTTTCCTCAAGTTCATTTTTAGGTCATAACTCATACCTAGCCTATAACTAAAAGTAAAAGTAGACCTCTAAGACCAGTAAATATAATCTAGCTTCTAGCCTATCAAGGATATGCAAATGCAAAGTACCTAGCTAACCACAAAAACCCATAAAGTAAAGGAATATCATTATCAGGTAAAAATTTCCAAAAATCATAGATAATAGGCCTAACTATTGTTTCAATCGTAATATTTGCAGGTCAAACTGTTAAAGTGTGTCATTTTTTGACTACCTAAAAAATCTCCAATCTCAAATATTAGACAGAACTTCCCAAAAAATGCAAGTGGAGAAGACTGTTTTAAAGTTTATTTTCTTTAAATGCATATGGGCAAAAATGTAACATTCTTTTATCAGTTTATGATTTAAACAAAATAAATTACTAGTCAAGTGCCACAAATAAAAATAATTTACCCCTGGCCCTGAGCATGAAATTTTTTCTTTTATGGTTTGTTTCTGTCCAATTTTCTAGTTAGTTTTGTACTAATTGGGTAATTGTAGAAGCAAAGAAATTGTTAAGATTATTTACCTCTATCTTCATATGGAAGTTTGGTTCTTCTATCCATCCCATTATTGATTATTCCCATATGCATGTATTTTTAGCATTTTGAACTACTGATTGCAGCTGATAGAGCTGGTCTTTATTCTTTTGAACACTTTTAAAACAAAATAAGCTGAGTTTGAGTTTAATTTTCATTGCATTGGAAATTCTTAATTTTTCTAACAAAAATACCTATATATCATATCATATAATATAATGCTGGTTTAATATAAATATCATCACCTAAATTGCCCTCTTTCCTAAATTGCCAGGTAGAAGAAACAGGTGTGTGTACATGTTCAAATGTTGACAGATGTATACCTACCAATTTATTGTTGGGATCACTGGCTGTTGCAGTACCTATTGAAAAAGGTGTAATTATTTCATTTAAGTTTGTTTCTCACATTCTCCTAAAGTTAACTTGTAATTTCAATGCTGATGGCTCTTTATCATTTGTGATAAGTTACCAAAGACAATGATGGCCAATCATTTTTCAAAGCACTCATTGTTGAGGGATGCATGTAGTTACTCCCTGACCACTAGCGTAGGTAAAAATTTCCTCATGCTTGGACAATTTTGCCTTGTCAATTATCACCCTGTAAAATGTCTACTTTAAAGCTAGGTAGTTGTGAACCACAACAGCCACTTCCAGAATTGCATGATTTCCCTAAGTGAATCTAAATTTTATCTGATTATATATAAATAGAATTGATCAATCAAGCTAACCAAATTAATTAAACTTACCAATTTGGAATTTTTCCAAACTTTATAACTTCTGATCAATCATATTTTTTGCAAAAAGTTGGACTTTTTCCATTTTGATCAATGGGTATATTTTGCTCTATCTTCAAGTAGCATTTCCACAATCTGTGAAGTGTGACACACAATAGATCACATGTATACATGGTTTTATTGCCTCAAAGATTTTGAGGAACAATCCTTGCAAAGGCCAATGAAGCTCCTCCATATATGGCAATTTACAATCAGTATGGATCATTGTCACTGATCAATATAGTCTACAGCTCTTTATAATCAAATAATGACTGATTCTGATGAATACCTAGCTAATAAATTCCTGGTGAACTTGTAACTCAAAACAAATACTAATTTATTGTTGGGATAACTGCTTGTTGCAGTATTGAAAATATGAAATTATATAATTAAAGTTTGTTTCTCACATTCCCATAAAGTTAACTTGAAATGTCAATGCTGATGGCCCTCCTCTATCTTTTGTGATCAGTTACCAAAGACAATGATGCCCTATCATTTCTCAATTCACTCATTGTTGAAGGATGGTATATGTTATTTTGTTGCAGGATTTCCCTCGCTTGCTTTCGTCTCTTGCAAGATAATCAAATGATGCTCGAGTGGTCTTTGTAATTTCCCCTTGACAATGATCCGCTCTCATGCTCAGCTCTCCTCGCCCGTCAGAAAGAAGAGACGCAGGTAATTGCATTTCCTTTGCTCTGTTCTGTCAACACAATTGCTGGTTTACTGATTTCATCTAGTGTGTCTTTTATCTCGTGCTGTCCACTCACAGGGGGAACTGCAGTAACTGTACCCAATGCTATGCATGTGTACTGGAGATGCTTGTTGGACGTGTGCAGGTAAATAAACCCTCTGCATGCCATGAATCTTCTCACTTGGAATTAGTCAGTTTTAAAATAGTGAAGTATTTCAATGATTGTAATATTTCTATAGTGAAAGATGGTTTTTATTTGTGTGTATAATTTCTATATGAGAGATGGTTTCTATGTGCGTAGTGAAATAATGCAATATGGTTATTCACTGACTGTTATTGTGAAATAATGTTAGTTGGTTATATATTGTATTTTGAAATAATGCTAGATAGTTATTTTTTATGTAGGTATAATATTGGGATAATGTTAGATGGTCGTAAATTTGTAGGTTATGTATGACTGACTGGTTATTGTGCCACCCGAAGCAGTCTTTTCTGCCTCAGTCTTTTGCACTGTAAATATTAGTCATAAATTTTTAATTTCAAGATAAGGTTTCAGTTCATTATATAAGCTGACTCTTCCTTGGTAATAATACTGAGTTACTAGCAATAATATGTTGAATTACTCTCTGCCATATTCTCTTTGATGCTGTGCCACGTGATCCTTTTCCATTGATTCCTTCACACAACTAGCACTAGGTACCTATTATTTGTTCTGTATCCTTATTTAACTTCCAAAATTCTGGTCAAAGGCTAAATCGCATAGAATTATTTCTGTTCACTAATATTCTTGAAGTTTGCTAACTGCTCATCTCTGCTCAATTTTATCTTCCAATTTGTACTACCGTATCTCTCTGGCATTAAAATTTTCTCTTTGCATCAAATTTGCATTGCCTTTGTCTGACCATCAATTTTACCAGCATCCTAGCACTGAATTTGTTGTATTCTGGTAACATTCTGTTTGAATTTTCCTAGTTTCTAATGCCTGTGTATTTCAAATCTATCCACATGTTCCATGATAATTGTTGCTACCAATATCCTATTCAAAATCGGTAGGTATTGGAAGGATACCAATATCCTTAAAATTCAGTCTGCACCTCATGTGTCCTCAGCTCTGTTTACACTACGTAGTACATGTTTAAGTCTACATGACACATGGTAATGCAGGTATTACCACCTGATGCCATTAGTAACTCATCTCTTTTCAATTTAAAACCATCATCATAAACGTCATTCCCTCTTCAATGTATGCTACACAATACCTTCAATTAATAAATTACCTTATACCTTATTAATTAATGCTGACTTCTTCATTCTTCAATGTGGATGGTATGGGTCATTAAAAAGTACCTATTTCTCTCTTTAAAATATACCGCCAGATTCAACCTGATGCTGTGCAGGTTCGAGCACCATTACGACCGTGATCTCCTCAACACTGCCGTGCAACAAGTCAAGAATGGCGAGCTTGGCATTAACGAAGCGTCCGACAAATACAACATCCCACGCACGACCATCAGCTCCCGTCTTCGTAAGGACGGATGGTATTCCAAAGACACCATCCTTCCAGACCCCGAGCTGTCACCTCGCATTAAAAACGAGCTGCTCGTATGGCTTAAGACGATGCGACAGATGTCGTGCTCGACTGTTCTCTCGGCCCTGCCTTTTGTCATGCAAGAAGTCTGTGAAATGTCCGGGGAACACACGCTGTTTGCTGCGAGTAACCTCCCTCCTGTGGGTTATTGCAGACGTTTCCTTGATGAAATTCGCATTCAAAAAGAAAAGGAACTGAAAAATTCTGAAGGAACTGTGGTGTGGAAGTCTAACTCTTGTTCCGTTATTGATCTTTGGCTGAAAAACTTAGATGAGCTTTTTGAAATTCAATATGGCCTCGATGCAGACTCATTCTTAAGCGGCAGTGAGGTCAATGCAAGACAGATCTACTGCTGCCATCGACTGGCGATGGTTCTCAAGCGTGAGGACGGCGGCACTGGCAAGCTTGTCCACTGCCAACCGCCCCATCAGAAACATCTGCCAAGCATTATCACGATGTTCACCTGTGTTGGTGTTGATGGCTCAGCGCTCACTCCGTTGTTTGTAGCTAAAAGCAGGTCATCGGAGCAAAAATATTTCGCCAAATCTAAAACTTCGTTCCCATCTTTTGAAGTGTGGTCTAAGGAATGCGTCATGGATGCAGATGTTTTCTTGGACTGGCTCCAGCTGATCGTTCGGGAACTGGGAGACGATGAAACTAATCGTCCTTTGTTGCTGTTCTTGGACCAGTCAATTGGTATCATCTCCTTGGCCGTGCTGGACTTCTGTCGGGACAATATGATTATTTTGTTTTACCTGCCTGACACGACTGCCGGGTCGCGGCTCCCATTTGGTTCGGCGATCTTCGATGAACTCATCAAATCGTCGCCCGAGTTCAGCGGCAGAAGCAAACGGTCAATCACAAAGGCACACTCATTGCAAGTTCTCCCGAAGCTCTGGAGTTGTTTGCAAAAAGAAGTAATTATCGCTGAATTCCGCCGTGTAGGATTGGTACCGCTCGACAAAAAAGTTCTGGAATGCTGCATGACGCCAGTTTCTGGTGTTAATAATCATTTAAGACGGAATAATCCAGGAGAAGCTGTTAATGGAAGCATGGACTCTTCTTCACCGAGGTTAGAAATAAGTTTTGTCACTTCTGAGAGTGAAGTCTTGTCTTCGGTTCCTGAACCAATATCGAAAAATGTAAATATGAGATCGACATGTAAAAAGAGCTCGATGTCATCTACGCCGCACGTTCCGTTGGCCTACTCTAAGTCTTGCTTGGAGTCAGCGCAAAATATCCCGTGTGAATCAGCCCAAGATTCTTCGATGCCCCAACCAAATGAACAGGACAAGCTTCTTCCTGGGACCAACAAGCGGAAGAGGAAACAACCATTGGCGAATTCAGCGTCACCTCGGTTGCCTAAAAAGACGAAGAAAACGACCAGTGCTGTGGTATCGTCCACTCAAGTAAACCACGAGGCAGACAAAAGTCCCGCAATTAATTCTGATGTTGGTCAGGCAGTTAAATCAAGGAAAAAGTCCGCCGCGACTAACATGGCTGCTGTGAAAATGGAACCATCAGACGTGGAAATGCCTACAAGAAATTCTGCGGATACCGGCTCGCCTTCAGAGCCCGCTGTAAAACCCAAGCAGAAACGGAAAAAAGTTCGTTCGCCACCTGAAGCGTTGGTGGAAACAGTGGAAGAGTGTAAAGTGGAAGATTCACAAGTAGCATTAATGGAAGGAACCGAAACGAAGCAAAGCGAAGGTGGTTCATCAATCACGGCGAAATTCAGAATTGTCGTCGACAATTCAAAACGAAAGAAAAAAGACAAGGTAATAAAAGAACGAAAAAGAAAGGGGAACAGAAAGGAATCTTCGAGAAAGGAACTTGGAAAACCTGCAAAATCAAGAAAAGAAACGGTCACAGAAGCTCCCAGCAGTAATCATTCGTTAGTTAATGCCTTCAGTGATCGCATTAGTAAAATCAAAGACGAATTTCCGTCCTCAATTATCGGAAATTCAGTTGATGTCGTCGCGCCTCCTGCACTTGGCGCTCTTGATCCCGAAGCTCGCACGTCCGAAGATCCTGCAAATTTCAACGCGATCGCTCCGCGTGCCAAGTCCTTGGATGCTAGCTGCCTTCATTGCGAAGATTCCAAAGAAGATCGTGTAGCTGGAATCCGTCTTGGTCTTACGCGAGCTCTGAATATCATCGAAATGACCATCCCAAAAGACCTTCTGCAAGTTTACGTGAAAAGGTTCAATCGACTGCGCGAGTGCCGCATGAACGAGTGTTTCGAGCCTGTGCGAAGCAACGTCTTCGGCCAAATGCATGGACATCAGAAGCAGAAAACCGATCCTATTTTAAGCGACCCATCATTCATAATTTGGTCTGAATTACGGCGAAGCTTGGATTTGTGCTCGGTGTTTCCGTCACAGGAAACAAAAGCCGCTGCAGAAAGTATCGAAAATATGTACCGAGAAGAAGGCGATTCTGAGGCTTGCAGGTACCAAACGCTTTCTCGTTCTCGAAGTGAAAATACTGGCGCCGATTATTCAGCCCATTGCTGTGACATGAACAAAATTGATCGATCTGTTTCAGAAGGGGCGGGGTCACTGGGCAACGCAAAATGTAGAGTTAAAGAAACTCCTAATCGCGTCCGGCGAGATCTTTGCTTCAGAAAAAGGCTCTCAGAAAAACTCGACTTCTTGCACGTGAACCAGAAAGGGGCGTTGGAAAATGATCAGCTTCATCCATCAACTTCCACTCCGTTGACGCCAAAAAATTCGGACCCTGATGCCTACAGAGTTCGAAGCTGTAGGCTTGAGGATCCAAGCGGACGTCGAAGCGCATCAGCGTGTGAGATTATGGATCGTTCGGGACCAGTACAGCCATTTGAAGCGGTCGCTGGAGCAAGTCGCTTATCAGTGAGTGAGAACAATGATTGTCAAGCTCCTATAAAATTAGAGTCGTTCAATACTGCTTTCAGTTTCTTGCAAGCTGGAAATGCTTTGAGTGAGTCTGGTATCTGGGATAACTTCAAGAATTTTTCTACCGCGGATATAAACAATAACAAAAATGATGCCATGTTCATGAACAACTTTACCCACTTCAATGCGACTGTTTGTGGCTGCTGCAACGGTAATGTCGGATTAGCTAGAGACGTGAGTTCAGTGCCTGGAAGCTTGATATCCTGCACAAACATGACCAATAACGTACAATATTTTTCTGCCCTTGCAAACGACAAGCTCGCAATTGCTGGCACTCGAGACTCTACGCGCGATCGTTCCATCAGCTCTAATATCCTGGCTCACGATGATGGTTCGTACAGCTCCTATCCAGTCGGCACGGACAGTGCAGGCTTTGGTGGACCTGTAGGTGAAGTTTACTCGTCGAACTTTCGCTTCTGTGACTCAGGGATAAGCCTGGGTTCCGGAGATCAAACGCCTCGCGTCACTGAGTTGAGTTCCTTTGTTTCAGCTTCCGACATGTCGCAGCGAACGAATTGCGGGAGCTCGGACGTATTCTATTCCGCTGCACAGCTTACAAATAGTGAACATATTACAAGTCATTGTCCCTCCGTTAACCCGACCATTGCTCCAGCTTCTGCTTCTTGCGCAAAGTTCACTCCCCCCAATTATGGTTCAATTGTGAACCATAACATGCCGACTTGGGGCCGAGACCTCACTGTAAGCGCAGCTCACAAGATGCATGGTGGCGTTATTGTGAACTGTGGCAGGGCGTCTAATTTGATGGAGACTCAGGCCCTCCAGGAACCTTATCTCGATATCAATTCACAAATTCTGCCATCGGATTTTACGTCCCCCCTCTCGCAGAATAACCAAGATATCTTCAGACAAACTGACAACTCATGCCATGGCCAGAATCATGATCTGCAGCTCAATGCATTTGTCACTACTGCAAATTTTAGGCCTACTAGCTTCACTGATTGTCTCCCAGGCACTTCAACTTGTACGGGTCACACTGAAGAAAACGCCTCAGGGACCGGCCTGAGTTGCGTGTCTGTTGACCGGCATTTGGATCACGTCAAAGAAGACGTTTCTTCGCAATCGACGACAGCATATCCGCAGAACTCCTGCTCAAATTTACCGTACAATTCAGTAGGTTCTCTGATGACCGTTGGTTGTCATCCGCATCTGCCCGTTGATAAGCGGCACTTCAACGGTTCTGTTTCATCCATCTGTGATGTCGCTGGTTCTCAAAATTGCATATTTGGTCTTCAAAGTAACGGGTATGATTATCAATCTCACTCTCTCAACAACGGACCTGTCATGCAGTCTAGCTGCTCAAGCCGCCATAGCGGTTGCCCTTGTCCAGATAAAAACTATTCTGGCCTCTCAAATGGACTAACATGTGATCACAGCTGCACGGCCCCCGGAAATAAAGTGTCGGGCTCACCCAACCCTCATTCAACCCCTATCAACCACATCACCCCATCAAAAACTGTATTTCAACAGCCAGGTACCCAAGCTGGTGAAAAAAACCTACCCATTTTAAATTCTGATATCGGCGTCGTCGATGCGAACGGAGCAGCAAGCCAATGCTTCAACACAACTACTTCAAAACAAATCAAACCCACGCTGCTTGCGAGCCGCAAGCCCTCTTGCTTGAAACTCGTGGGTAAACTGAACCCTTCTTTACACCCACAGAAATCTTTGACGTGTGTTAGCGGTCGCAAAAAACTCTCAAGTATTCTGCCATCAGCCATGGACTCTTCAGGGGACCTGAGCGATCTGGTAATAGATGAGAGCAAGGACGAGGCGTCTTGTGATACGGAGAATCAAAGCCATGAAGCTGATGACTATGTCGAAAATACATGCAATGTAAGTGTGAAGGTTGAACCTGAGAATGGTTTGAATGGTCCCCAGAAAAAATATCGTAAGCTTGAAGCTGGAAACGATCGAAGAAGTGCAGGAGACAAAAATGATCATTTCGATGATAGAAGTCAGAAGATGGAAGCTGACAACCGTGCCGAGGAAGCCAGTAATGGCGCAAACGATAATCTTTTCATTGCATGTGACGCTAAAGCAGTCGACAGCGTCGCGCAACACAGTGAGAAAATACGACAAATTGACGAAGTTAAAAGCGAATTCTCGTCTCCTGATGATGTCACCCATGCACTCAACACTGACAGGTCATTTTCATCCACTCCCTACCACCTCGACGTATCGTCTCCTTATTATGATCCCTTAGGTTCAATTGATATTTCTTCCGAAATGTTAGACATGGACCATTTCGATGATTCGTCTCCAATTAGAATGATTCTTCCCCATAGTTCTTCGCCTGGGGAGGCGAAATGCGGTGCCCCACACTCCTCTTTTGGCTCAGTTGGGGAAGAACAAGCAGGCGACCGAAGCCTGAATCTGCAACTGAGTGGCATGAGCCGGTCCAACGACAGTCACTCTGACTCAGACATAGATTCGAATCACCGGGACCAAACGAGCAGAACATTACACCCTGAGTCGGTCTCTGGGATACCTGCGAGTGATACGAGCCGTCCTAACGCTGGTGGCTCTGACTCTGACCTTGTCTCTGACTCTGACAATCTGAGATCGGAGACCGTAGCTGGAGAATCGCCGTCGCGTGCGGCAGACGACAATGAATTGGAGGATTCGTTTCTGGCTTGTGATGAAAATTTGGGCAGTTGGTCTTCTGATGATGAGGAGGACTAGAACATTAGCAATGTAATGGACATCGCTTATACACTGCTGCAGGTTCACTGCCCTGCTGCAGGTTCACTGCCCTGCTGCAGGTTCACTGCCCTGCCGCAGGTTCACTGCCGACACTTGGATAACTCAAACCCTCTTGTCTGCGTCCAGCTTTGGTGCTTGAACTGAAGAACTCTCCAGCTTTGGCGCGCGAAGAACTCTCCTCTCTCGGTCTAAATATCATCTTTTTACTTGATCACGGTCGCTTTATAGTCGATCACCCTAATTACGGTCGCGCTATAGGCGGCCACCGCTGATTCTCCTTCATTTTCCACTGCCTTTGGACTTGCGGATTGCCGGTCAGCAGATGCCAATTAGCGGCCGATAATGAAGAGCGATCGACGGCCCTCGAGGATTGGCGACAACAGCAATCCCTGACCGGGACCCGCTGGGGCTGTGGACCCGCTGGGGCTGGTGACCCGGGACTCGCTGGGGCTGGGGACCCGGGACCCGCTGGGAACCTGAGATCCGCTGGGAACCCGGGACCCGCTGTAGCTGAAGACTTGGGACCCGCTGGGAACCCGGGACCCGCTGTGGCTGAGGACCTGGAACCCGCTGTCACCACATGTGCTGGGGGGTTGCACCTCATATCCTGGCGTTGCACTTCATATCCTGGGGTTGCATTCAGGTCATGGGGCTGCACTTCATGTCCTGGTTGTTGCACCGTTCGTTCGACCCGCCTAATTTCTATGAACTTGATTGGTTTGCAGACCGAGCGCGCTGTGCTGTGAGGATTTCAATTTTAAATTTTATTTTCCGAAATTTCTGTTTTGTGTATGGGCAATGCATCTATAGCTCGTGGCTGTCCTGTTGCCACAGTTTGTTTGCTAACAATTTTGGAATATCTTCCGACATGAGAGTATGTTTTTTGCGGTACATCATGTACATGCAAGCTGCAAATTTTTTTTTATTTCGATGACATGTTGATGTTGAGGAGAGCCTCCTGACGCCGTTATGAATATAGTTTTTCTCTAATATTTCCTATGGCATCTTTGCTTTATTCGATCGAAAGGAATTTTCACATATTTTTTTATTTCTTCATTGCATAGTCTTTTTTTTTTTGTCGATGTCACGACACTTCTTTCACGTTTTTTGTAAAAAAACGTGGTTCGCACAAACTGTCTCGTATGCTTTTCATGGTCAATACATTCACCATGGCTTATGCTTTTTCATGCTGTTAGGAGAATCTCAAATTCAAAGTTTCCCCTCGCTTATTTTGCTCTGTGTTTAATAGCATATTTCTCAATTTTTTTCTACTTTAGTTAATTACAGAAGAAAAACTGTAATTGTAATTATGAACTGTAATTGTACTGTAGTCGTAATTATGTACTGTAATTTTTGCAATCGTAATTATGTACTGTAATTTTACTAATTGTAATTATGTACAATGCAACAAACCTACGCTTGTATGTTGATAACTTTTCGTTGTTAAGCCAAGGAAAATTGAATATTTTCACTGCGTTGCGTTCTCCATCAAAGTGCATGTACACTAGGCCATCAGTGGCGGCCAGTGGAATTTTCAAACACTAACTGCATTATAGATAATAACTGGTTTGTCAGTGGCGTTTTCGTGGATATCGTCTATAGTGGCGTTAATTAAAGTTTTTTTTATCATTTACGATCTATCTTTATTGTTATTGAGGCACATTTGAAGCTATTGTCGATAGATGCAATTTTTTTGAGTTTTCATGGTGTTTGATTGAAAATTTATCGTTTACTCTACCGTTACTGAAAATGAAGCCCATTTACGGTAAGGTAATTCAATAAAATTCTGCTATAAGATTGTCCAAATTAGAGGCAAAACAGTGAGGGTAAATTGCGTTGAGAATTTAAATTGGATTAGAAAAATCGAATTTCTTGCTAATGCTATTTTGCGGTGTTATTCTTTGAATATTGTTAGGAAAATTTCTATGTGAAATTAATGGAAATAACGTGTGTAATTTAACTGTTCTCACGTTCATCGTGAAAGTTATTTCATTCAGTTTTTCGTACGTCGGTCTAGATAGACCAAAAGGAAGGTATTTTCAGTAAAAATACCAGCGTTTTTATTATGTTATTATCCCCTTAACTGAAGTTATTGGCGTCGTGATTGTATATTAACATAGAAGAGTATTGAAGACTTGAATTAAAGTCCTAATATTAATAAAAAATATTTCAAATTCAAAGCCGTAATATTATTAAATGAAATATTTGATATTCAGAGTCTTAATATTTATGAATGAAATATTTGATATTCAAAGTCGTAATATTAATAAATAAGATATTTGATATTCAAAGTCGTAATATTAATAAATAAGATATTTGATATTCAAAGTCGTAATATTTATAAATAAAATATTTGGTATCCAAAGTCGTTATATTAATAAATAAAATATTTGGTATTCAAAGTCGTAATATTGATAACTAAAATATGTGATATTCAAAGTCGTAATATTAATAAATGAAATAATTGACATTCAAAGTCGTAATATTAATATTACTAAAAAAATATTAGATATTCACATAAACGTCACAGAATAGGTTCTTACGTCTAATGTTGTATCTTCATCAATCGTCTGTGGCACCTCCATCGTCTGTTCCATCTTCATCCATCGTCTGCTGCATCTTCATCCATCATCGGTTGCATCTTCATCCATCGCCTGTTACATCTTCATCCATTGTCTTTTACACTCCATCCACCATCTCTTGCAGCTTCATCCATCATCTCTTGCAGCTTCATCCATCATCTCTTGCAGCTTCATCCATCGTCTGTTGCATCCTCATCCGTCTTCTGTTGCATCTTCATCCATCATCGGTTGCATCTTCATCCGCCGTCTGTTGTATCTATTGTCTTTTGCACTTCATCCACCAACACAAGAATGAGTTTGTACATCAGGATTTCCACTTCTTGACGTTTGGTTTCCACTTCTTGACGACAAAGTCTGCATGAGCATCGAAATTTAAAGCCTGAATCCCGGGCCCGGTTAGGTTAGGTAAACAAGGCTCGCCCAGTCGCCCTCCTGCCGTTGTCGTGAGAGGTTGTGCGCCCGACGCTCTGGTCCGTCCGGGGACGATACGAGAACCACAGTTTATTTCCGAAGCTACTTCCAGCTCTCCACGTGTTGAACTTTAGAGATAAATTCAATCATGAGGTAAAATTACAATACATGCGTCAACAGGTACCTATAATTCTTGAATTTTTCATATAATATTTAATCGCCGTAGCTTGACAAGACTAAATTCCAGTGCAAACCAAACCAGCAAAGTTGTTATGGCGGTAGTAAAGTGAAAATGTTTTCCTCTGCTGAAATTCTTCCAACGTGAGCCTTGACGTTGAAAATTATTAAGGTACACAATTAAATATATTTTGCGTTTTTACGTGAAAAATTTTTCAGTGTAAATTACTTTCCCCGTTGTTAGGAGATGTAATTGATCGTCTTGAAACTAGTCTATTTTCGTGGGCATGCCAATACATTGAAACACTTGTTGCTCGCATTTAACCTCTTTTACTGTTTGTGAAGAAAAGTGAGAATTCGCTTGTGATTTTAATAAAAATAAATACAAACATTTTCATTTAAGAAATATATTCACTCTCTTATATATATTCACTAATCTGCGGACTGGGCAAAAGTAAGATATATGACGAGTGAGATATGATGAGTGATATATTATGAGTGATTTATGATGAGTGATATATGATGAGTGATATATGATGAGTGATATATGATGAGTGATGTATGATGAGACACTGCAGTGAGTGACAGAGAGCGCATTTTCTCGTCGACGAAAACGTGAAGTCACGGACGGACGGACAGACGGACAGACAGACAGACGGACGGACAGGCAAACAGACGGACGGACGGACAGACAGACAGACGAACATGACGAGCACAATAGTGCATTTATTCCATAAATGAGAAAATGCGCTGAAAATAGGTAAAATACAAAGCTGCGCTCTGTCTTATACCTTTGATTGAACCGTTGATTGAAACACGATTTTTTTATATATTGATATCAATTTAATTTCCCCGGCGAGTTTAATCCGTAAGCTGCTGCAAGGATTCCCTGCATATTACACTTGGAAAAATAATGGGAACTTTGTCCAAATAAAAATAATAACGCATTTTTCGTTTGTGTGCATCATCCTAACGCAGTTTGACCCGCAGAAGGGCGTATCAGTGCTACGTTCGCTCTCTGCTCGGGCAAGGGGCGGGAAAGTGGGTCAATGTTAGGGCAGTACCTATGACTCATTCTTTTGTCTGAGTGTACAAGCAAGACAATAACTGAGATGCAGTTTACAACTTTTAGCCTGCGTAGCTCGAGATTGGTAATCCCCACTCTATATTTCCCCACTCTGTAAGTCCCCACTCTAAAAGTCCCCACTATATATGTCCCCACTCTAAAAGTCCCCACTCAATATGTCCCCACTCTATATGTTCCCACTCTATATGTCCCCTCTCTATTTGTCCCCACTCTATATGTCCCCACTCTATATGTCCCCTCTGTATAAGTCCACACTCTATATATGTCCCCGCTCTATATTTCCCCACTCTATATATGTCCCCGCTCTATAAGTCCCACTCTATAAATCCCCACTCTATAAGTCCCCACTCTATAAGTCCCCACTCTATAAGTCCCCACTTTATAAGTCCCCACTCTATATGTCCCCACTCTATATGTCCCCGCTCTATA